CCCCCCCGGGCAACTGCGGCTGAGGAGACGCGCCACCTCCCTCACTCACTCACACCTCCCTCCCTTCTGCCGTTCCCGCCCTGTCAGCTCGCCGAGCTGTCAGTCGAGGGGAGGGCGCGTGGTGTGTCCGTAACGTCATATGGGCCGCCCGGCTCTCATTGGCTGGGCCGGCCTCACCAGACTGAAATGTTGTTCCTGGGGCTACCCAAGACAGCTCTCTCGTCTGCCTCGCTCCGTCATCGGGGGCAGAGCGCCGGCGACTCCGGGTAGGCCGAGGGCGGGTCACGTGGCTGCGGGCTCGCGGCTTTATAAGCCTTTCAGAGGCCGCAGCGCGCGGGAGAAGAAGGTGGGATCGGAGTGACTTCGCGGGGCTGCGGATTAGGCAGGTGAGGGGAGCGCGTGCGTGAGAGAGATTAACCCCCCCTCCCGGTCCATCCATTCGAGTGGTAGAATCCAGCGGGACTGCCAGGCCTCGCGGAGGCTGGGGACTGCTAGCGATGGAGCCTCCATGGACGGGGGCAGTCTACCTCCGAGGGGCTGGGGAAGGGGCTGTCTGCGGCCTGTGAGCTCGGCGCTCCGGTCCTGGGCTGCTCTGAAGCGTCTTGGGGGGGTCTGTTGGGCTAATGCGGTTTGTTTTCCCGCGGTCCCTTGGTTGGGTGGAGGGTCCCTGGCATATGGGGTGGTCCCCTCCGTCTGGTCCCTCTGCCCGGCTGGCTTTCCCTAAGCTGTCGTGGGAGTCAGTGGGTCTCTCCTTCAGCGGGCATCTGAGTGGTCCTTGCTGCTGCAGCCAGAGAGGGTGGTGGGCTCGGATGGGCCCTGGGCTTGATTCAGCGCAGGTAGCCCCTCTCCTTAGGCAGGGAAGCATTGGGGGGAGGGAGGGGGTCTCCTACAGCCTCTGTCTCATTTCCTATGTACAAAAGAGGGAAAAGCTTAATCAAGACCTGATCTGGGGGTGGGGTGGGGGGTCCGAGGCCTTTACTGTTGTGCTGTCTGGCCGGGTTGGCCTTCTGCAGGCTTCTCTGAAGTGACTTATGTAGTTCCTGTAGCCTGCAAGGAGTAGACGGCCAGGGATTAAGAAACCCGAGCTAATGCTTTTGACAGAAATGAAGGTGACTGCCTAGGAACCCTTTATCCTGTACCCTTCTCCTTAAGCTACTCAGTGGAGACAAGGGTTGGCCCCTGGTGGGGGGGGATGTTAGGGGAGCACGATCCCAGGTGCTTATCTGGACAGGAGCAATAGAGACCTTGCTCTCCTCTGAGATTTCCCTCCTTGGAGGGAAGGAGCTCTGTGAAGAGTGTTGACCCTCCTGAAGAGGGAGCCTGCTGTGGGGGTGGAAAGAGAATGTGGCCTTTGTCATCTCTGGAACGGATAATGGGGCTGGTCCCATTGCCCCTTCAGCAACAGGGTACCCCCCCGGCAAGGAAACATAGAGCATAAGACCTCTGGGTGGTGGGGGGGGCTAGGCTGTGTCATGCACTTTTGTTTCAGGGGCAGCAGCAGCTTCAGTTCCAGGTGGAGAAGGGCAACGATCCAGCATGTGGATGCTTCCCTTGAAGCAGAGAGTGGCTGTGACCCACCTACAAGGAGCTGAGATCCTCTTGTAGTGGCTACTTCAGGCGTGGTGGTGGCAGTGGCAGCAACTCTTCCAAGTGCCTGTTGGGTCGGGTTGTGGTCTTGTACTTTGAATAAAACTTTGTTGGTCTCCGAGGTGCCCCCGACTCAAACTTTGTTCTGTTGCTTCAGACCAACACGGCTGCCCCACCTGAACCTATTTCCCTTCTCCAAGTAATGAAAGCGACTTCTGGGTCTCTTGTTTGCTCACTTGTGTAGCTGTCAATCAGACTCATCTGTTCATCTATAGAACAGAATCTGCACAAAGCATACCTTGCTTGCTTCTAGTTCATGGAAGCTTTGAGTTTTGTGGGAATGGGGTTATGTAGACTGTGGACCTGCAGCAGCAATGGAAAGTGACTCTTGGGTCTCTTTTATTTGTGAACTTGCGCGTTAGGTCTTAGGCTAAGTCTTTGCAAATAGATACTGTGAAGGGTCAGTTAACCATTACAGGTCTGCAGCTCTTAGGATAGTATGCGGCTGTACTTCTGGGGGGGAGGAGTCTGTGCCAGGCTTACTGCAAAGAAAGTTTTCACAGGATGGCATTGATTGTGGACGACAGAAAGCGCTATACCTTGCATTTGTATGTTTGAAAACCTGCTATTATATCCGTGTCGCCTTGTAGTTGTGTGGTAGGGGGTTGTGTAGTTGTGTGGTAGGACCGGAGCGCCAAGGCCGCAGACAGCTCCTTCCCCAGCCCCTCGGAGGTAGCCTGCCCCCGTCCATGGAGTTGTGTGGTGGGGGTTGAAATCCTTGATAGATGCACAGCATTCAGAATGTGGTCAGTATGAGAAGCACGTTGCATCACTATCAAAGTAATAGTTCTGCTCGTGTCTTGTATAGGAAGGGTCTTGGGCTGGGGGGGATAGCATGACTGAGATGGTATTTGAAGGGGTGACTGCCACAGCAACAGGTGGTTCTCTTGTTCCCTGAGCCATGCCACTTCCATGGTGCCTCCATAAATGGGGGTCTGCCTTGGAAGAAGTTGGCTGCTGTCCCCCCACCTTGGAAGCGAAACTTGCATGAAGTCTTGTCCTGTATTGTCCCCCTGATTCCCAGTTCTGGGTGCAACTGCAGATCTCTTGTAAGTCCTGACAGACCAGTCAGGAGAAGTGTTCCCTCTAAGCTGAGTTAGTGTGAGCTAGCTCACGGTTTTTTAGCCTCTGGCTCACACATTTTTGTCTCAGCTCAGGAAGGATGGCCCCAGAGCAAACTAATTTATGCAGAAGCCAAATCACTTGCTCACAACTTTAATGCCAGTAGCTCACAAAGTAGAATTTTTGCTCACAAGACTCCACAGCTTAGAGGGAACATTGGTCAGGAGAGGCTTATGGTGTACCCTGCGTTTCTAGAGCACAGCTGAACATAGACACAGGATTTCTGTGGTTTGCCCTGCCTTTACTCTTCGGGAATCTTCTTGCACCTCATGAAGGAGCAAAGCGTTAAGGCTTTTGATCTCTGTAAGCGCAAAACTTGCCTGGGGGCTGTTCTTCGCCTGGCGTTGGCTCTAATGATTTCTTGGTGCCTGTTTCAGAAAGCGAATGGAGACTTCAGTCCCTGGACTGGAGGGTCATACCTGCGGTTGCTCCTGTGCTGTTGGGAGAAGGAGTCAAGCGCCCTCGGGTGGGACGGCTTCAGGGCTGGTGGCCAAGGTGGGCGAAATGCTGAGCTCCTCAGTCTCAAACTCTCCTCTGACGTTCATGGCCCATGGCGCCCCGAAGCCCAGCGGCTCCAGCCTCAGCAGTAGCTCCGCCGGCGGCTTGAACTTGAGCCGGGACTTATTGCAGCGCAGCCTGGTGCTGTTCTTTGTGGGCACTTTTCTGGCGCTGGTGCTGAACTTGCTGCAGATCCAGAGGAACGTGACTCTGTTTCCAGAGGAAGTCATCTCCACCATCTTTTCCTCCGCCTGGTGGGTGCCCCCGTGCTGTGGAACGGCGGCAGGTGAGTCACTTGACTGTTTGGGATTCTTTTTTCAGAGAAAAAAGGCATATTGGAGTGGTTTTGTCCTGGCCTGGCACTTGACTGGGGTGGCACTTCTACTGGCAGCTCGCCAGTCCTGTTTGTTTCTTGCCCACCTGAGCTCTTCCCAAGAGTGGATATAGCTCCAAGAATGTAAACACACTATTGTTGCCATCCTGCAATTCGCAACAGGTGGCTCAGACAGATGCATACAGGTATAAGAGAACATAAGAGACGCCATTGTTGGATCAGGCCAAAGGCCCATCCAGCCCAACACTCTGTATCACACAGTGGCCAGAAATACCAGTGCCATCAGGAGGTCCACCAATGGGGCCAGGACATTAGAAGCCCTCCCACTGTTGACCCCCCCCCCCAAGCACCAAGAAGACAGAGCATCACTTGCCCCAGAGCCCCTATCAATACCTTGTGGCTAATAGCCACTGATGGACCTCTGCTGCATATGCTTATCTAATTCCCTTTTGAAGCCGTCCATGCTTGTAGCCACCACCACTTCCTGTGGCAGTGAATGCCAAGTGTTAATCACTCTTTGGGTGAAGAAGGACTTCCTTTTATCCGTTCTAACCCGACCGCTCAGCAATTTCATGGAGTGCCCACAAGTTCTTGTATTGTGAGAAAGGGAGAAAAGTACCTCTTTCTCTACCTGCTCTTTCCCATGCATAATCTTATAAACCTCAATCATGTCACCCCTCAGTCGTCGTTTCTCCAAGCTAAAGAGCCCTATGTAGCTGCTTAGGAGACAGTGAGGTGATCTACCTGTGCAGTGTCCATCCTAGGCTGAAATCTGCTTTTTCAAAGGTATTGTTAGAAACAGGGAAACGAGTTTCCTCCAGCTACTGTCGTCCAAGTTTTAACACAGTAGCTGGAATGACTCATCAGCACCCTCTGCATTGGCTCCCTGTTTCAACTGGTGAGTCTCGTGTTCCCGTTCCTATTGGCTGCTGGTATGAACATGCCATACATTTGGAATCAAAAACAAGGAAGTAATGTGTTGTGATGAGAGAGGAGGGGAAGTGGAGCTTGGCCGGGTGCCTGTTCTGACAGCAGCTGCAGCAGTTTCATTTCCCAGCAGAAACATAATGGCTGGGGAGGGGGAAGAGGTGAGGTTTCTTTTGTAAAGCTGAATTTAACATGGGACAAAACCCTCATTTAAGGTAGGAAGCTGTAGAAACCAAGCAAACAGGAAGGCCGAATGTCGGAGCTGACAAACTGAATCCTACTGCTGCAAGCTACTCTGATGGCTTTCGAACAGAATAGGGAATTACAGATCTGCTCTATGAAATAAAGTTTTGTACTTTCTGCTGCAGCGTTTGGGATTCCAGCTTGTAAAAGTGTCTCTAAGTAAAGCCACAAAAGGAAATTGATTTCGGGCTTTGTTTTTTTGTGCTGCTTGTATGCTGTAATTTCCTAAACCAAAAGGACAGTTGTCTGCTATGGTGGAGGCGTTGCTGATGTGGACATTCATTTCTGTTGGATATTCAAGCTCCTGCAGCTCTGTCCAAACCCAGAGCTGTCTTCAGAAATAAAGGCAGCAGGTTTGGAGAGAATACAAAATGATGATTCAAACTGCCAAGTGCCGAATGGACTGGTGAATCAGTGCAGTGAATCTGTAGTACTTCTACTGTGCCAGATGCCTAGACCTGTCTTGTCACGAACAGTTGTGAGAGATGCATCCCTGTTGTTCTCTTGGCAGACAGAGGGAGCATAAAGCTGACAAAGGAGGAGGCGACACTTCATGGCTGGGCACTAAACTTAATCCTGAGAAAGCTCATCCTCAGAACCGCAGTTTCTTTTGAGGCTGGTTAATTATGTTTGAGAGCCAGTTTGCCATAGTGGTTAAGTGCGCAGACTCTAATCTGGGAGAACCGGGTTTGATTCCCCACTCCTCCATATGCAGCTGCTGGTGTGACTTCGGGTCAGTCACAAGTTCTCTCAGAGCAGTTCCTGAAAGAGCTCTCTCAGCCCCCCCTACCTCACAGGTTGTCTGTTGTAGGGAAGGGAAGGAGACTATAAGCTGCTCTGAGTGAAAGGCAGGGTGTAAATCCAATACCTATTCTTCTTCCTCCTCTTCTAAAAAATATCTTCAGGCCTCATGAAATGCAGGTCTCAGGTGCCTTTCAGAAGAACTGAACAGTGCTGATGTTTTGCCAGTCAGTGCACCTGCTTCTCTGGCTGTAGGTGGTCATTCTGTGACTAAACTGAACAGCCACTTTGCCCTTCTTAAGAAGCAGGCGACTTTAGGCAAGCCACCGCTTCTTAGCCATTCTGCTCAGTCAGGAAGAAGCCAGCCACCCAGACTTCCCAAGAGCAGCCAGGTTGTTGTCAGCCCTATCCTGTGGCTACTGAGAGAGAGTAGGAGGAACGGGTCCTGTTGTGCACGTTGTTCTGGTTATAATGCAGCAGCTGCTTGTAAACTTCCCCCCATCCAGGGCTATTTTTGGGCAGGAACGCACAGGAACGGAGTTCCGGCTGGCTCCTGAGTTGGCCACGCCCAGCAGGAACTCATTAGCATAATAGGCCACACCCAACAGCAGAAACTCATTAGGATTGGCTACATTAGGGGTGTGTGGCCTAACATGCAAAGGAGTTCCTGCTACAAAAAAAGCCCTGGGTTTTGACAACAAACAAGGTAAACAGAATAAGAAGCAAAAGGTGGGTGTGGCTGGATGACCACACATCTGGTAACATGGGGGTGCGGCCTAATGGGCTAATGAGCTGTGCGGTCAGGGGTGTGGCCTAATATGCTAATGAGTTTCTGCTGTTGGGTGTGGCCTATTATGCTAATGAGTTCCTGCTGGGCTTTTTCTACAAAAAGAGCCCTGCCCCCATCCTATGCGCTGGGTCCTGGAGGTGACCTCCTAAATAGCCAACTTACCAAATGCAAGTGAATTTCAAGTAATACAAAGCGCTCTTGTATTAGGCTGCAAAGGCCAACTGTAGGCTCCAGCCAGGGGACAACTAGATAAAGTGATTATAAATAAATTATAAATTGCCACACCAGAAACTGAATGTCTGATACTCTGACAGAAATTTGGTAGTATACAAATGTGATTCCAGTGAACGTCTACATTAAAAAATAGCGGAAGCTTTTAATTTTCATATGCACAGAACATCTAAAATAGTACCAGTGCATCAGAAGAATTGCTAGGACCTTTGTCACAGGCAGCTAGGGTTTCTGGCTACAGAACTTCTGGTCGCTTCCAAAAGACAAAAATCCCCCTTCTAATGTAAACAGCATAGTCCAGCAAAGGAGTGCATGTGTTCCTTGATGGCGTCAAAGATTGTGTATTTGTTATTCGTAATGTATTTGAACTTGGGATCTCACTGAGGTTTAGGGTTTGGACGAGGCAATAATTAATCTGGTCATCTTAGCCACTGAAGCGTTTTGTTTATCCCAGGCTCTGGAGAACAAAAGGTGCCACGGCACTCGTCACTGTCACAAGACCCTCAGTTCAAACGCTGTGTGGTGTTCCGGGGTGTTCTGTAGCAGTCGTTAGCTCAGCTGAATGCAGAATGAGCGTTATTACTGCAAATGGCTCGTTCCATACTGCAGAGCCGCTTCCTTGGCTTGAAACCTTGGAAATGGATCTCTGCAGCACCCCTGAACGTGTGCTGATGCTGCATTTTATGAGAGGCAGTTCTAAAACCCCCCCCCCCCCCCAGAGCAGGGTTGGTGTGGTCAACTAATTTTGTAAGCAAGAAAATGCATTAAAACACACAGTCCACATATAAAAGGAAGGATGACTATGTGGTGTCTTCATTTTAAAAACTGCAGCGGCACATATCACAAGAGGATGCTTGAAGCGTCATATAGTTCTTTGGCTCTGTTATTAAGGAGAGGAGAGGAGATTGGATTTATACCCCACCCTTCACATGGAGTCTCAGAGCAGCTTACAAACTCCTTTCCCTTCCCCTCCCCACATCAGACACCTTGTGAGGTAGGTGGGGCTGCTCTGACAGAACTATGGCTTGCCCAAGGTCATCCAGCAGCTGCAAGGTGAGGAGTGGGGAATCAAACCCGGTTCTCCCAGATTAGAGTCCGTGCACTTGACCACTATACCAAGTTAAGAAAAGATGGCTCTGGTTCCTGTGACTTTGTCATGTATTTATGTATGACTGTTTGTGGAAACAAGCGTCAACCATTTGTCATCTTCTCTTACAGCTGTTGTTGGCCTGCTGTATCCCTGCATCGACAGTCATCTTGGCGAGCCTCACAAATTCAAGCGAGAATGGGCCAGCGTCATGCGATGCATAGCCGTGTTCGTTGGCATTAACCATGCGAGTGCTGTATCCTTGAAGTGACTGGCGTAGGCGCTCTGTCTGGGGTCGGCATAATGGAACAGGATTTAACATGGACTCCTTTTCTCCCCTGCACAATGTTTCCTCCGAATGGGTTTGGGTGCCTAGCAGCTCGGTCCTATGAGCTCCTGATTTTGGGTGGTAGCTTGGAGGATCCGGAGCAAAACCCCACAAACTGCTGCACTTGATCCTTATATCAGTCTGTGGGCTTCACCTGCCCATGCGCTGTAGAATCCCTGGTCCAACTTGTGTACAAGGGAGCAGTGTTCCCTCTAAGCTGAGTTAGTGTGAGCTAGCTCACCGTTTTTTAGCCTCTGGCTCACACATTTTTGTCTCAGCTCAGGAAGGATGACTCCAAAGCAAACTAATTTAGCCAAATCACTCGCTCACAACTTTAATGCCAGTAGCTCACAAAGTAGAATTTTTGCTCACATGACTCCACAGCTTAGAGGGAACATTGCAAGGGAGGTTGTATCTAAGATTTCCAGTGGGATGCGGTGTGGAGAATGCAGGAGAACCAGGGAGCAGCTTTAAGTTGCTGGGCCACAGGCGGAGGGTATGAGGGCAGCTCAGCAAGTTCTGAGGGTTTGTGCTGCTGTTGCTGATTTCTTTTTTCCATACGTAACAGCGTGATCATGATATCTTACATTCCATCACAGCAGAGAATGCTCCAAAATATCTCTTATGAAATATATGGCTGGGATGGCTGGACGGAAGCGGAGGCTTGATCGGCTGCTCACCTAAGTCAAGGGTGTGGTCTGATTTCACACATGCGGGTCGTGTCTTGATGCTAAAATAATGAACATGCGGGTTTGAACTGGCCCTGAGCGCTGTGAACCCCTCCCTCACTTATCCTTTCCCATGTAGAGTGTTTGTCAGTAGCTTTCTGGGTGTTCTCCAGGATTTCACTTGACTTCCAGGAAAATCAGCATCTCGCAAGTGGTTTCTCATTGCGTGTGGGCAGATATGGTGGTAGTGCAGGCTGGGGCACCCTCATAAGCAGAGGAAGGAGGCGTGTGTGCAGGGAGGAGTCCCTTCAGGTCCTGCTTGTGCTATTTATTTGCAGAAAGCAGTACAGCTACATATGTGAAAGGTACATATGTGAAAGACTAAGGACCAATGAAATATGGACACGGAGGAGCAGTGGCTAGGCTTGAATTCTTACGAGGTAAAGGAAGCTTTTCTCTGCCGGCTCCAGACCTTTCCTTAACTTCCTGCTTAGAAATTGGATTTTGCAAACAATATCCAGCTCTCCTTGACATTGGCAGCGCTGTCATTGGGCCTCTGGTGGACATTCGATCGTTCCCGAAGCGGTCTGGGTCTTGGAATTACAATAGCTTTTCTAGCCACTCTGATTACACAGGTTCTTGTCTATAATGGAGTTTATCAGTAAGTATCTTTCCCCGTCTTGCTGCTTCAGATTGTCAGACTGTGTAAAGATATGCTTGATTAAACTTGTAATCTGTGTATGTCGGTGCCCGTTCACCTGTTAGAGAGAAGGAAGACCAGGCCTTCTGTTTTAATGACATTGCATTGTTTAGCCGGGTAGAAGATGGGGATTTCTTTAAGAAAACAGTTCTGGAAGGTTTCTTTTGTGTGTGTTCTTTTTTTAATGAGAGCCTGGGTATATCTTGTAAGATATACAGTTTGGTGTAGTGGTTAAGACTCTAATCTGGGAGAACTGGGTTTGATTCCCCACTCCTCCACTTGCACCTGCTGGATGACCTTGGGCAAGCCATAGTTCTGGCACAGCTGTTCTCTCATGAGCAGTCCCCGAAAGAGTTCTCTCAGCCCCACCTCCCTCAAAGGGTGTCTGTTGTGGGGAGGGGAAGGGAAAGGAGTTTGTAAGCCGCTCTGAGACTCCTTCGGGTAGTGAAGGGCGGGGTATGAATCCAATCTCCTCTTCTTCTTCGAAATGGTAAGCTTCAGGTTTAGGATGGAAATCTCTCTCCTACGCCACCCACAAATCCAATAAGGTTTTTCCTTCTTAAGCATTATTCAACAGAAGCTAACACACCATCATAATGTTAGCAGTTTTTACAAGTTCCTTCTCATCTAAGTAGCCACAGAATGTACTCTCAGTCAAATATTTGGTACCAAATTCATAATATTGGTTCTTCAGATCTTGATAGAAAAAAGAAATCTTGCACAGCTGCTAAACCTATAGCCATATCTAAAAATGCTTTCCTTTTTCTTTAGGTATACCTCTCCAGATTTCCTTTACATCCGGTCTTGGCTGCCATGTATATTTTTCTCAGGTGGCGTGACTGTAGGGAACATCGGACGCCAGCTGGCTATGGTGAGTGTGGCCCAGTCTGTTTTTTGGCGCTTCTAAAAGGGAAACGTGATTCCTGCCTATTCGCCTCTAGTGGTTATCATAAGGGCATCTCCTCTGGTGACTACTGAGGAAAACAAGTTCTTTCCAAGTGCACGACCTGTGACTCACCAGTGAACTCTGAGGCAGGCATGCAAGCGCAGCCCTTCCTTCTGGTTGCTCTGCTGTTACCTTCCTGGCTGCCTTTCAGGGAAGGATGGACGGACAGAAAATACTCAGTGAAGTGAACCTTTTCTCCTTTAAAAATCAGCTGAGTCCAGTGTTCTCTTTATGACACGTTCCTGTATCTCTGTTGTGCTAGAAACATTTACGTCCCATAGGCAACTTCTAGGCCTTCAGACATCATGCCCGACCACATAATGCACTCTCTACATCACGTGTTGGAATGAGCTTGTCCGATAGAGATTTCAGAGTAGTACAAGCAGGTTTCTTCGTTGTCCTCAATGGGGAGAGCTCTTGTTTGCGTAAGCAAGATGTCTGGAGAAGTGCACTGTCAGTTTGGGTTTGGAATCCGATGTCTGTCAAGTCTGTCTTCAGACTGGCCCAGCCACAACCGAATGGTTCCAGCAACTCATATTTGGTTCAGGTGGGCAGCCGTGTTAATCTGAAGCAGCAGAGCAAAGTTTGGGCCCGGGGGGCACCTTGTCATGGAGTCCAAGGCTGAACCCTCTGGGTCCCCAGGGCCGTTGTACACAGGTAACCAGACGGCTTAATTTTTAGAACAGATTCATAAAGTTCATCTCAATTTCTGTCAGTATAAAAGTTTATTCTGTAGCCAACACATGACTCTAGAATCATGCAGCAAGAAAACTAGCTTACCTACCTTTCAGATTTTGTGTTAGATGGCACAAGCCTTAAATTTCAAGGTCAAATGCCAAAGTGCAGGCATTCTCTACATTGCTAGCAATTGCAATTCAAGTGGGTCATAGCTAAGGCCATTAGTCCCATCAAAATCCCAGCTAGTGTCGCTTTCTTCAGGGCTATAGCTCAGTTATAGTTTTTGAGCCCAGCAACATCAGGTGAGGATAACATCCAATCAGGACACATCTCCAGGAGAAGCCTCTAGAAGATTACCTCACCACCAGCAGCCCAGTTCTCTCCATCACATGGACTGCAGCTAATCATGAACTGGGTAGGCCAAGAAGCCAGTTAGTAACACCTGCAGAATGTACCAGGCCCATTACTGTTCACATTAACCCTTGAAGGGAGGCCAAGGGGGGGCTTTACCTCATACACCTGTAAGACCAAGAAAGTTTAATTCTGGGTATGTGCACACCAAAGCTTATACCCAGAATTAAACTTTGTTGGTCTCCAACTTTGTTCTGCCTCATATTTGGGTGTATGTTGGGGTAAAGATTAACTCCTAGTGTGCTGGATTGCCTGTAACTGAGGGGTTCTTTGGACCCCTTTCTGTATATTGTGGGTGATCTCCTCAGATGTCTGACTTTCTCAAAGGCGTTAAGTATTTCCAGCCATTTCAGAAAACATAAGCTGGGGATTCAGGTTCGAGGCGGTCCCTTGTAATTCCTGTGGTTGAACTAATAAGATCCCATGCATTCTTGACCGTTGAAGCGTGCAGAGCTGATGCAACACGCTGGAAATTGTTCATGCCCTGGGAGTCTTTCTTGCAGGGGCGTCTCATCCCAAAACCGCTGTAGAAAGTTTGTGAAGCTTTAACTGAGTTTTCAAAAGGAAAGGACTTAAAGTTGTTTCTGAAGTCCTCCTCCTGAATGCCTTTCTCATCTGGAGTTCTTGCTAGAGAACGCCTTCTCCAACCAGTGCTGTTTTCAAGGAGGCTAATCCATATGATAAGACAGCAGAATCATGACACCAATGGCTCTGATCACATGACCTTTCTTTGGTCACAGGGCTTGGAAACCCGCTGGGCTCTGCTCCACGCTCGAAATCCCATGTAGGCTGCAGGGGACCATCTCTGCATGGGGAGGGGGGGTGTCCGGAGCAGACGGCTGGACGTTCAGCTCATGCCATTTGTGAAGAGCAACTCTTTGCGGAGAGCCAGTGTGCACGGGAACCCAGTCCCTTCGGTCTGCTTTGAAAAATGCCTGAAATGTTTAAAAACACCAGGAAGGTGGGGGGGAGAGATGAGCTGTTTGCGGTGAGGAATTGAGCTGGAGAACTGGGCTGAGCGTTTTGCTGTCTACAGGATATAATCCAGACTCGCAGCTTGACACGATTGGAGAGTCGGATCCCAGCCCCGGCCTTTGTGTTCCTTGAAGCCGAGGCACCTGTCCCTGGGAGCCAGCCACTGCTCTTAACCCCAGCTACTGTTCTCCTGTTGCGCTTCAACCAGACCTCCCTGTTCTCCTCTCTGAGGACGAGCACCTCCGGCGTGTCTCTTTAACCGTGTGCCGGCATCTCGGCCTCAAGCACCGTGGCCTGAGCTATTGGCACGTGGAGCCCCCAAGCGGGACCGGCTTTGAAGGGATCCCAGTAGCAGCTGAATGTGGGTTCTGCCTCGAGTCTCGTTAAGGAAAGGCGGGCTATAAATAACGTGAATAAACGTTCCTTAATTGTTTGGCTTCTTTATTTATAATAGACGCTTCTTGCTTTTGACCACAGGGCGTTCCCGAGAAGCCTCACAGTGACTAAGTGTCCGGCTCCGCAGTGCCTGTCCGAGGGCGAAGCGCAGACGGCCTCCTGCGTCTGAACTGGGATTATTTTTCTTGACTAGCCTGTGCGGGGCTCTGTGCCGAGAGGACTGGCGAGGGAAGGTGACATCCGCCTTGCAGCGGCCGAGGGCTCACCTTGGCTTTCCAGAGACGCATCTGTCCTTGGTTCTCCGGCGGAAGAATCCCATAGAGACTTTAATGCACCGCGAGTCGTGCTTGGCGGCGGCCCCAGGCGCCGGGCTCCAGTCGCAGTCGTTGAAACAGCGGCCATATTTCAAAGCCTTGAAGCAAAACTGTAAGCTTTGTGCACGTGCCCAAAGAAGGTTGTGGCTGACCGGGTGGTGCTGGGAGGTGGAAGGGGCGCGACTAGTTTCATAGGAAATCGTATTTATCCCGCTGTCCTTTAAGATAGGGTTGCCAGAGGATCAGCATCAGGATACAATCACTTGGGTGCCGCGTGGAGGGATAGTTGCCACCGGCACAGTCCGATGGGAAGTTCTGCTTTGCAGGCCCCACTGAAGCAGAAGGGGGGAAGGGCCCTACTCTTTCCGTGGGGCCGCTGCAGGAGGACTGGTTTGGAGTTCCCTTTCGACTTGTGTGTGTGGGGGGGCTTTTCTGGAGTACCAGATCTCTGGAGAAAGTCAAGCAGAAGCCGTCTCATTCACAAAGAAGCAATAAGTCCGTCAGCTGCTCCTGGGACCGGCTGGCCCCTTGTTCCTGTCCTGCTGTCAAATTAAAACACAGCCAAAATCCGTTCTTCGTCAGCAACTCACTTTGCCGCGTTTCCAAAGGGGGGGAAGCCCTCAAGTCCCCTCTGGATGAACCAGTCCTCAGCGGGCAGGACGGGCGGAGGATTCTCCTCCGATTCCTGTCGAGTTTTCTAGGAGTCTTTTCTGGTTTGGGGGTTCCAGCTCCACAGCTGCCATCAAAAGAAGCAGGGCAGGCCAAAAGTGTTACTTCGTGCTTCTTTATCCGTGACCTCCGGCTTCACACTGTGTTTCTGAAGAAGTCATCGCTCTTGTGTTTTTTTATATATACAAAATTCTTTCTCAACCCTATGTGACTTGCAATCTGTGATTGCCCTGTTAAAAACGCCTGCATCACTGTGTTAAACATGTGGGGGGTGTCTTAAGTAGTTCCATAGGCAGCACAATGGCAACTTGAATAACATAGGCCACCGTTGACCTAATTAACAAGTATTGGGTCTCAGAATTTAGACGTGCAATGTCCGATTGAGAAATCTGAGCCTCGTCTCCTCTTTAATATCTCCTCAAACAATGCGGAGCTCTTAATCGCATTTCAACGCTGCACAGAGGCAAAAAAAAAATCAGCAATAATTGAATTAGTGATGCTTAGTTCATGCCTCCTCCTCCGCACTTCTAAAGAAATGCTCTGGTCCTGTGCTTGTGGGTGCAAAGTGCTCTTGCTACGTTGCCTTTTTTTTTGTATGGGGCAATTGGCTCTTCTCCGTTTCCAACTTCAGGAAGGCTTCCAGTCTAGGCAGCGGCGATTTCACTGGGGCTACCAGCTGAAGCTGCATTCTTCCCTTTTATTCTTTCCCCCCCCTTTCAAGGAAGCCTCTCCCTAAAGCAGTGTTTCACTCACTCTTTAAACCCAGGCCCCCTCCTAAACTGAATTTGCCTTCTTTGCCAACCCGCTCAGCGGCACGCACGGGCGGGGCCTTTGTCCACAGCCGCACGCGTGCAGCCTGTTATGGAGAACAGGGGGACTGATCCGGCACTGAGATCAGGGCAAGCAGGGTTCCCCCGAGCCGATTCCGGCTGCAGTGCGAGGAAGACGTCTCTGGCGTGCCAGCCGCAGCCTCTTTGCCTTTCCGGGAACGCTTTCTCGGGGCGTGGTGCTTCCCTAGCTACAGCTTGAGAACCACCATCCTAAAAATTAAAAAAAAACAACTTCTGGAGCATATTTAAATGCTGTTAAGTGTTTGGGGTTTTCTGTTCATTTGTTTGAAACCAAGAGGTCAGGCAGTGGTGGGCAAATCACTGACTCTGAAGTAGGTTGGTGTTACTCAATAAGACACTGTTTGCCGATCGCAGTCTTGACTCCCCCTTTTTTTTCCCCCTGGCCTTCCATTGGCTTTTAAAGGTGTGACAATTTACCAAACTGAGTTCAAAGCATATTCATCCTAATGCTTTCTCTGCCCATGTGAGTCGTCCTGTTTAACTGGCATTATTTGACGGCTATGCCTATGCAAACCTGTTATCTGTTCACTGAAAACAGATCTCAGCCACTGTGGCTCCACCCAGAAAGCAAAGAAGCGCTTTGACAATATCCGTCTCCCCAGTACCAGAGATATAACTATAAAGGGCAATGATAGGTGTACATATGTAATCATGGGAAACAGTAAGTATTTTATTTGTAAAGGTTCGAAAGGAAATCTTTTGTTTCGACAAGGTGGCCAAAATACACGTCAGAAGTTCAATCTTGCCAATTTTTGTCTGTCTGAACCAAAGTGATCAGAGTTTGTGTTACAAAGAACTATGAGGGGGGAAAACTTGCACTATCCTAGATTGGCATCCGTAGATTCTCCAACTGGGTAGGCTTTCAGTAGTGGTGTGTGTATGTGTGTGTGTATGTGTGTTTTTTAATTATTAAAGGTTTAAATCAACACTCTGTCTCTTGTGGTGCTTATCCAACATGGTGATCTCGAACGAAGGCAAGGAGGGATTGGGCAGGTAGAAGTGTGAGAATCTTTAGGCTCTCTACGTTTGTGGCTGTAGTACTATGTTTCAGTCGGCCTTCCAGTGGTGGCGGAGCATGGGGCCCTGGCCAGTTTGATGTGGTGGTTAGGAGGGCAGCCCGGGTTTGATTCCCCACTCTTCCACACAGCTGCTGGTGTGACCTTGGGTCAGTCACAAGTTCTCTCAGAGCTGTTCTCTCAAGGGCATCTGAAAGAGCTCTCTCAGCCCCGCCTACCTCACAGGGTGTCTGTTAGGGGAAGGAGTTTGTAAGCCGCTCTGAGACTCCGAGTGAAGGGCGGGGTATAAATCCAACCTCTTCTCTTTCTCTTCTGATGCTGGGAAAGATTGAAGGTAACAGAAGAAGGGGACAGCAAAGGATGAGATGGTTAGACAGTGTTACCGATGCAACAAACATGAAATTGAGCAAACTCCGGAGGACGGCGGAAGACAGGAGGGCCTGGCGTGATGTGGTCCATGGGGTCGCGAAGAGCCGGACTCGACTGTGCGACTGAACAACAACACCTCCCCGCTACACTCCTTTAACTTTCCCCCGAGTGCTCTACATGTTCCAGTGTTCATTAGGCACTTTTAAGATTCTACACCCACATTCGGGGGTGTGTGTGTGTTGTAATTTGGAGAAGAAGGACTATGGCTCAATGGCGGAGTGTCTGCTTGACATGCAGAAGGTCCCCGGTTCAATCACTGACATCTCCAGTTAAGAATCGGGGAGTGTTTGGTGTGGAAGGCCTCCTCCTGAGACCCTGGAGAGCTGCTGCCAGTCTGAGTAGGCAACACTGTGGTGGACCAGTGGTCTGGGTCAGTATAAGGCAGTCCCCTGTGTTCAGGTGATATGCTCCCCCCCCCCGGCATATCATGTGTCACATGCATGTTAACTGCGTTCTGTCCTGTCAGCAAGAGGAGTGTCTCCTAAGCCTGGTAAGCCCCCATGAACACCAGGTCTCCCCGCTCCTTGCTTCATACCCTGTTTCAAACTGTGTTGTGGAGAGCCAGGCTGTCCTTTTGTAGTTGGGGTGGGTGGGACGGGGGACTCATGGTGCCAGCCGCCGGTTTTCCGTGCCCAAACTCCATGCCCTTCTCTCAGACAACCTATTTCTCCCTCCAGCTGTGGAAATAGAATCAAGCCAAGTCTTTTGCTGTGGCTGTCATTTTCAACATTGTTGTGTTTTCTGTGCGTAGGAGGCCACGCTCCCTCTAAGCTGTGGAGTCTTGTGAGCAAAAATTCTACTTCACAAGCTGTACTGGCCTTAAAGTTGTGAGCGAGCGATTCGGCTACGGCATGAATTAGCGTGCTCTGGAGCGGTGTTCCCTCTAAGATGAGTTAGTGTGAGCTAGCTCACAGTTTTTTAGCCTCCGGCTCACACATTTTTGTCTTAGCTCAGGAAGGATGGCGCTGGACCAAACTAATCTGTGTAGTAGCCAAATCGCTCGCTCACAACTTTAATGGCAATAGCTCACAAAGTAGAATTTTTGCTCCCAAGGCTCCATAGCTTAGAGGGAGCATTGCCCTGGAGCCACCCTTCCTGAGCTAAGACGAAAATGTGTGAGCTGGAGGCTAAAAAATGGTGAGCTAGCTCACACTAACCCAGCTTAGAGGGAACCCCGGGAGGAGGCAGCTTTCAGTAGGCAAGACGATTATAAAGAGGCGTATGTCCCAGGGCAAGGGACTTCACAGTCGCAGTGCAGCACAGCTGTGGATCCAAAAATCCAGAGGAATCCTGAGTGCTGCTTCTGGATTCCCCCCCGTCCCTATCACAGTCTACTCTCAAAAACAAAGTTTTGGGTCCAGTGTGGCACCTTTCAGACCAACAATGTTTTATTCTGGGTATATGATTTCATGCACAGTGCACACAAAAGCATATACCCAGAATAAAACTTTGTCGATCTTAAAAGATGCCACTGGACTCACACTTCGTTCTGCTGCTTTCGACCAACACGGATACCCACCTGAATATACTCTGAAAAAGTACCTCTGTTTGGTATATACGGAGTCTTCGGACTGTGTGCTTCTGAAATAAGTACTGGTTTAGTCAGTGGTGCTCTGATAGTCTAGTACTAGTGACCCTTTGACAAAGGCCATCTGGCCAAATGGTCCAATGTTACACCTGGGGGTGGGGTGAATACAGATGTTCCTGTCCTTTGAAATAAAGCGTTCATGGCACGGTGTGCCTTTTCCTTTAACGAATAGCGGGCTCAGCCCATTCCGATTTCAGGGGCAACAGACCCCCTCCAGCTTGGGCCACCTCCCGACTGAGCATCTGAGACGTAATACTCCGTAGTCCCTTCAGGCTGCCTGTTAACTGGAAAGTATCAGAGCAAGGGATCTTACTTCAGCTAGCAAGAGCGCCCTCTGGTGCCACGTTCCGTTTGTGCAAGCGTGTTTTTTTTTTACAGGCAGATCAGCACCATTAATGCAATAGACAAAGGCTCTTGTTTGTTTGGAAGAAGAGGCAAAACCCCGCACAACACATCCCATAAGTTTCTGTTAAGCTTTATTTCTTCTAGCAAATGTCTGGTTGGCTCTATCATCAGGTAAGAGGAACTGAGCCATGCTACTTACATGTAAAACATCTGCCTGTCACATTAGTGGGGAAAGAGAGAGAAGAGAAAAGGCGCTGAAGAGCCACTGGTTTTCCTAACAGATCCTGCGTGTGGATGGCTTTGTGAAGGCTCTTGGAAGGGAATGCTGAATGCAAGCAAGTCACAAAACCAAACAAGGACCCACGGTAAGTAGGAAAACCAACATACAACAGATACCGTGCACAGATGAATTATAACCTATCATAAATAATTTTATATATTTAGAAAAAATATTATTACAATAATTTCTTCATACATATTAATCATCTTAGTCACAATTCATAATATAAGAGAACAAAATGTCAAAAATAATCTCCATAGAATCTCAAAAGATATAGTACAACCTTATAATATATATTAGTCCTCCTCTATAAAATAAAAGTTTCAAAAGGGAGGACTCCTTAAGTTCTCTTTACATGTGCTCTGTCTTCCTCCAACAGAGGTCCAGATGTCCTTCTGTTTCAGAATCTTCCTCAGGGAGTTCAACAATAATTTTCAGCACAAGGTTGCTAAATACCAAAGTTTTAATCCAAAATTCTCTTTCAACGAATGCTGCAAAAAGTTTTTTGATGAGCTACAAGCCTCCTCCAAATTGAAAAGCAGACAGCTGGGACTCAGGACTAAGTGAAAGGAGGGGAAAAACGCAGCATTGGCAGAGGGGGTTGGGCCACCCAGTGTTTTCCTCCCTGGGTAGGCTTGAGGCATGTGTGAGGGGAGCAGAGAAAGAAAGCAACTTTAACTTTAACAGGATAGCATTTTCAAAGCTGCCCCCAAGCCTACAAATATAATTGGATAAGTATATCGCATTACCAATATCTGTCTTTACCCCATTTGTTCTTATTTTTGGCAGTCTCATTTAGAAGAAGAAGAAGAAGAGATTGGATTTATACCCCGCCCTTCACTACCCGAAGGAGTCTCAGAGTGGCTTACAATCTCCTTTCCCTTCCCCTCCCCACAACAGACACCCTGTGAGGTGGGTGGGGCTGAGAGAGCTCTTTCGAGGACTGCTCATGAGAGAACAGCTGTGCCAGAATTACGGCTTGCCCAAGGTCATCCAGCCAGGTGCAAGTGGAGGAGTGGGGAATCAAACCTGGTTCTCCCAGATTACAGTCCGCACACTTAACCACTACACCAAACTGGCTCTTATTAATGTTAATAAAAAGCAAATTTGCATATTTTTCAATTAAAAATGGGTGTGTAATATTAGTTTCATGTCTTGCAGCTCTCAAACATCTGACGTTTATTCTATGTGGCTCTTACGTTAAGCAGGTTTGGCCACCCCTGCTCTAAGCTGTGGAGTCCTGTGAGCAAAAATCCTGCTTTGTGAGCTCCTGGCATTAAAGTGGTGAGCGAGTGATTTGGCTGCTGCATAAATTAGTTTGCTCTGGAGCCATCCTTCCTGAGCGAAGTTAAAAATATGTGAGCCGGAGGCTAAGAAACTGTGAGCTAGCTCACACTGACTCAGCTTAGAGGGAACACTGGTGGGGAGGTAGCTTCGTCGCCTGCATCTTCAGCCTCATCCCTGCAGGCTTGATACAGAGATGGCAATGTATTCTTGCCAAATGTGCGGTGGTGCCTGGGGGCATTTTGTTATCTATTCGTTTGGTCTGTGTTTGCCAAGCTGCTTGCTTTCTTAAGCCCCTGTTCCTCCTCTGCCCCTTGGTCCCAAGTTACCTCTTTTGGTAGCGAAGAGATCTTTTAACAACAAGGATTTTTTAGATTGGGTTGGGGGACTACGATTGCTATGAGGCAATGCGAGACCCGTGCAGACATGAATTCAGCCACGTCTGAAGAGTCTGCCTGCCTTTGGTGTTAGCAACGGCTGGGTCAGACGGCCATAAGGAACGCATAAGGAACACCCGTCTTTGGCACTGTGTGAACACAGGGTGTGGGGTGGGCTGCAGCGGGGAGATGGGGGCTGGGGCCGGGGAGCATCTGAGCAAGCACGATTGGCACTTTAGGACAATAAAACATGTTAGAATGCTTCAGATTCCTGGGAAACACTGCCGAACGTTCACAGCCTTGCAAATCTTCGCTGGTGAGTAGACTACAAACAACACTAGCGAGTGATTGACCCTTTCTGACCATTCTGATCTAAATGGTTGTGACTGCAAACAGTAGGCAGCATATCGACCAAAGCAAAATTCCTGCATTGATTGCTTCCTTTTCTTTGAAGCATTTCTCCTCCTCGCCGCACTGCCCACTAGGGGTGTCTGAAAAAGATTCTGGGTTCAGATTTGGGTCATTTAGAGAGAGAAAAATCCTCCCCTTTGGGATTGCCTGTATCTGCGATCACGGCGGAACAAAAGAACAGCCTTCCAACC